TTCTCCGTCAAGCTGCTCGTCAGGGGCTTTCTCAGAGGCGACAGACTTCTTAGACCCACTGCCCAGGCCGTAGTTAAACGCCACGCCGCCAGGCGCGCTGAGCAGCGCCGCGCGTTCGTCGGAGAGTTCTTTCACCTGATTGGCCAGGCTGAGCACCTGGTTGAGCAGCTCGGCGCGCGACAGCATGTCGGCGTGGCTGCCCTCCTCCAGTGCGCGAGTGATCGCCAGCAGCTGGCGACGCAGTTCGTGCGACTCCTGCTCCTTTTCGCGAAGCATCGCCTCCAGCCCAGCGACTCGCCCGGTCATCTCGCAGTTCTCCACCTCCAACGCTGCGACCTTTCGCGTGAGTGGGTCCGCGGTAACGTCGCCGTCGGCGACACCATCTGCGACGTCGCAGAAGTCGCCGTCGCTCTTATCGATGTGATCGGGCTCGGCTGGGGGCGGTGGCACCAGCAGGTGGTCATCGACCCACGAGTCGACCCTCGAGATTGCCGACTTGGAGTCGGCCACGGACTTGGTTTCTGTGGGCGCTGGCACTACCGACTCACGAAGTGACTGCCATGTTTGATTGGCTGCGCCTCGCTCTGCCACGACTGGCGAGACCATGAGTATGTTCTGGCTAGGTAGTAGATGAGATTTTGGCCTTGTTTTTAAGTGGCCGCCGGATGTCTGAGGTAAATTGGCTTCGACGGTCGAGTACAACTACTTGAGACAAGCTTGGTGGGTGGGACTAACGTGAACGTTGCACTACGACCAGTAGAATTTCAGACTGGGAACTTTGCGAGGAAATCTTCTGATGGAATGCAATGTATCGATGTGAGAAATGCTCTTGGATGTAGGTAGTAGGTGCAGCGTGCCGCTAGGTCGAAGTGGGAAGAAAACCCAGGGTGGAACTGTTCTTCCCAGGGTGAACAAGGATGGCGGTGGCGGTAGTGAGGTAGACGGGTGTGTGCGTGCTGGGTGGAGTGGAGAGGCAGAAGGGAGATGCAATGCAAGGCGAAAGCCAGTCAAGGAATGCTGGTGTGGGGCAAATTGGCTTGATCCACTGAAATGTGCGCCTGCATTTGGAATCGCGGAACCATTCGACATGCGACGTGGACTGATGTGACAGTATGCGAATGCCCTCGATACAGAGTTGATAGTGCGAACCGCGCTGTGAACTTGCAGGTTTGAAATGTCGGTCTTTGGCGCTGATTGGCTTGCGGCTTCTGATGTGTTCGTGCTAACTCGAGAAAGCTGAGACTGCAATTCGACAGCATGGGCACACGCTCTGTCAAGTCACCTTATAGCGGAACAAAGCACGAACTTCGGAGCTTTCTATTCACCAAACAAAATAGATATTCAAGAAACACTCGGTATACAAAACACGATATATGTATTCAACTGATGTGAGTTGATTTGCTTTGTCCAATCCAACCTGGCATCAGAACTTGCTGTTGTATCATCAAGGGAGTTGCCCTCAGCACCCAGTCGATGCTGTGAACCTAGGGATCCGTGCGACTGCACCGTTGCAGAATATAGCTATGGCGGTGCGGTAGGCATCAGTTCGAAACTGCCAGTCGTACGGTTTAATAAGCGGAGACAGAAACCAAGGTTGTTAAATTCAACGGAGCTGAGTGCAAAGGCACTCGAGCAGGCGAACATCTCACGGAGCAGTTACTATTCACTACGAGATTCGCGATGGCGTGGAACGCGTTCAAGTTCTGCACAGGCTTGAAGATTCTCGGATCCATTATGATCCTCGTCGTTCTCGCTATAGTCGCGGTTACTTACTACGCAGTAGTCATCGCGAGCTACGGCCCTGAGCTATCCAAGGGAGGCTCCACCTCGTTCCTCGCGTTCCTCGTGCTCACCGTCTTTCACGGTCTCGTAAGCCTCCTCGTCCGCCTCGTCACATCCTTCCACGATCCCCGCTTGCGATTCGTCTGCGTCAGCTTGCTTATTCACCCACCGAATTCTGCACTACCCGCCTCTCGCGAGACACGTTTGATTCACAGCGTATAGTCCGTGATATTCCTCCTCTTTGCCCCTTGTCTCCTCCGCTCTCTCCCCTCTCTCCCTCGTCTCTCTCTCGTCTCGTCCCCCCACCTCAGCTCGGCATGCTGCTCTGGAGCTACTTCTCCGTTGTGCTCACGGACCCTGGTGGTGTACCACCCGACTGGCATCCCTTCTTTCGCGGCGACGACGATCTCGAGGCTCAGTCGCTGCAAACCCTAGACACCCACAGGCAAGCCGCCCTTGGGAGTTACCCTCCCTCTGCTGCCGCCTCTGCTGCTGCTGACTCTGGCCGATCAGGCTCCGCTGCCAGCGTGGCAAGCGCTGGCGGCCTGTCCGAGTCAGCATCCGACGATCGCGATAATGACGATGACAGCTCAGCAATGGATGACCCTCGTGCTGCTCTTGTGGGGCCCGCGGGCGGCAGGGCGGGCATGGAGAACGGCGGGAAGCAGCAGGACCAGCAGCAACTGCAGCAGCAGCAGTCGCAAGCAGTGTCGCGCGGAGGAGGAGGGGGGATGGCGGGCGGGAGAGACGGAAGAGTGGACGCGGGGATGGGTAGCGGGGCAGTGGAGGTTCGGCGGTGCAAGCGGTGCTTGCAGTTCAAGCCGCCTCGAGCGCACCACTGCTCTGTCTGTGCGTCTCGCTGCCTCACTCTCTACTCTACACCTGACTGGCTATGTCCGCGAGTGTAACTGTTTCTGTCTTCTGCATCTCATGCGTGTGGCTCCGTCCCATCACTGCCCAACTCACTGCTTCACGGTCACTCTCCTGTGCGCGTTGCCACACCCATGCGCCCTCTCGCTCCACACACACACCACCACGTCTCTTGCTGTAACCACTCCCCCGGCCCCTCTTCCCCCCAACTCCCCCATGGCGTGCGTGCATCAGGTGGGCGGTGCATATTGAAGATGGACCACCACTGCGTGTGGGTGATCAACTGCGTGGGCGCTAAGAACTACAAGCAATTCCTGCTTTTCCTTGTCAGTCCCCTGCTGCCTCTCATCCTCTCGCTCTGCCTTCCCCACTTCTGGCTCCCTTGCATCTTAAAAAAAAAGTTCCCTGATTCACGTCGTGTCCCTTTCTTGACCGTCCTCAGCCTCCCTCCTTCAGCTCTTTGCTATTCCGTTCCATTCATAACTTGTTCCTTTCCTTATCCCTCTTCCACTCCTCATTCCTGCTTCCCTTGCTTATCCCCCTTCCAACGCCCCGTTCACCCACCCCATTCCAACCACCCCCACGTGCTGCCCACCACCTCCCTGCCCGTCACCATCTCTGTACGGCAGTTGTACACGTTTGTGGAAACAGCAGTGGTGGCACTGCTGCCGCACTTCATAGACTTATTCTGAGGCGTCTCTAGAGACACCACACCAACCCCCCCCCCCCCACCCCTATATGCGTGTCACCCATCCCTGCCCCCCTGCCTGTCACCATCCCTGCGCTGCAGTTCTACACGTTCTTGGAAACAGCAGTGGTGGCGGTGGCACTGCTGCCGCACTTCATAGACTTCTTCACCACACCGCCCTCCGCCAGCGACGATGCCACCAAGCTCGCCACCGTCTTCCTCTCCTTTGGTTCGCCCCGCCTCCCCTCCCTGCTTCTTCCCCCTCCCTCCCTCCCTGCCCTCCCTCCCCCTCCTTCCCTTCTCCATGCCATCCACGTCCTTCTTACAACATCCAGAGTCTCACACGGCGAGCCACTTTTGAAAATTCTCAGAAGTGACTTTCACAGTCTCACACGCCCACCCACTATGTACATCCCCTGCTTCTTCCCCTCCATTCCTCTCCCATTCACCACTTCATCCTCCCGTCTCTCCCTTTTTGCTCCTCCGTCCTTGCCAGTGCTGAACATAGCATTTGCCGTGAGCCTGCTGGGGTTCCTCATCATGCACGTGTCTCTCGTGCTTGGCAACACCACCACCATCGAGGTACGTGCTACCACGTGCCGCCTCCTCCCCACCTCTGTTGCGAGTCCTCCCTTCCTCCCTTCCTCCCTTCCTCCCTTCCTCCCTTCCTCCCTTCCTCCCTTCCTCCCTTCCTCCCTTCCTCCCCTCCGCTGCTGGGGTTCCTCATCATGCACGCGTCTCTGGTTCTCGGCAACACCACCACCATCGAGGTACGTCCCACCATCACAGCTCCCATTCCACCCCAGAAGTATTATTTTCCACCCATGGCCCATGCTCAGACACGCAAGCTGCTCATGCACCCCTCTTTCCCCTCCGCCCCCTCTCTCTTCCTGCTGTGGCCATGGCGTGCAGGCGTTTGAGAAGAGGGGGTCGCACAGATGGCGGTACGACCTGGGCAGGCGAAGGAACTTTGAGCAGGTAGGGGGTGTGCCATGTTGGTGTGCGTGTCTGTGTGCACGCGGGGACATCCACTTTTCTCCCTTCTCTCCCTCGCTCTCGGCCCGTGATTCATGGTCTGGTTAGCAAGGGCACAGAGAGTTGTCTTTGGTCACCTTTCAACCTTCTTTTGTTAGCTGCACCTGCGTACCTGCGTGCTTATCTCTGTGTGTATATTCATGTGTCCCTGTGTGACTGTGTCCCCATGTCACCATATCCTGTGCGTCTGTGTCCCTGTGTCATTCACGCATTATCGTATCCCACACCAGGTATTTGGCATGGATAAAAGGTACTGGTTGCTGCCCATGTATTCACCAGAGGACCTGCGCCGAATGCCAGTGCTGCATGGCCTAGACTACCCCCACAACCCTGAGTACCTGCAAGAGTTTGAGGTCTCCAGAAGATGACACCGTTTGGTACACTACAGCTCTTTATGGTGTACATGTGATGCTTACAATTTGGCCCAATGTGTTATCATTCATTGAAATTACTGTTAGCAACACTAGCAAAGCGTTGCCGAACCAGCAATGCGCTAAGAAACGCCAGTGGCAAATGTGGCCCCCATCCTGCTATGGTCTTGGCGCAAGCAACCAGACCATCTCGGCAGCATGTACAGGTGCTGCTGTGTGGAGTATGGTAGCTATGTGCTTGGCATGTGTGCGGCTCACCAAGAAGGGCTGTGTGGCAGCATGGCAAAGGGTGAGGGACCGGGAGAGACAGGATAGATACATGAATGAACTGCCAAGATGTAAATTGAGCATGATGAATGGGATTGTGTTAGAGGTGGCAGGAGGCAAGGCAGGGCAGGAGACAAGAGGCACTGACCCCTCTCCATCCAGGTTGACCTCATCAACCGCATCGATCGCTACCTCAGACTCCTTTCAAGTCACTCAAGGCAAAGGGGCAGGAGGCAAAGCAAAGGGGCAGGAGGCAAAGCAAATGGGCAGGAGGCAAAGCAAAGGGGCAGGAGGCAAAGCAAAGGGGCAGGAGGCAAAGCAAAGGGGCAGGAGGCAAAACAGAGGGGCAGGAGGTACAGCAGGGGGAGAAGTGCACTGACCCCTCGCCATCGATGTTGTCCTCATCAAAGTCCCCCGCCTCCACCGCCACCTCAAACTCCTCCTCCTCCCCCATCGCCCCCTCCCCCTCCTCCTCCTCCCCTTCCCCCTCTGCCACCCCATCCCCCTCCCCACCCACCCCCCCATCCCCCTTGTCCAGCTTCCCCCCGTAATCCTCCAAAGTGGGCGCTCTTTTGAAAGCAGGCCCTATTGCTGTGCCTCCTCCTCCTGCTGCTGCTCCTGGCGCTCCCTCCCCATCGCCCTCGGCTTGAGCCAGTGCTCTCATCTTCTCCAGGTGGTCACTGGCGAAGATGCGGTGGAAGGGGCGCGATACCTGCAGGGGGAGGGGGGGGATGAGGGAGGTGTATTTTGAGGCGCCTCAAAGGGCATGTGATGCGGTGGAAGGGGCGCGATACCTGCAGGGGGGGGGGGGGGGGGGATGAGGGAGAGTGGCTCTTGGAAGCACATGGAAGCACGTGGCAGCACAGCACGTGGCAGCACGTGGCAGAGCATGGGATCGCAGCACATGGCAGCAGGAGGGCACACCTTGAGGTATCGGTTGGTGGAGCGTGCATGCTTGACCAGGTTGCCCCAATGCTCGTCCACCATCAGCGCTGCTGCATTCGCCACCACCTACATGCATGCATCCATGCACCCATGCACCCATGCACCCATGCAGAAGTGAGCACAGTAGAGATGCCTTTGAAAGCGATGAGCGGATGATGCAGCAGGGATGCTGAGAGGAACATGAGAGCAGGGATACACATGGAAGGTTAGCAGATGGGAGCAGCACGAGAATTCCCACGAGCATGGCGGGAGCGACGAGCAGAGGAAGGCTCACGAGCATGGAGGAGCGGGCGCGGGTGATGCCGACATTCATGCGCCGATAGTCCGACAGAAACCCAATGCTCTTGCCCTTGCCCCTCCCCGCCCGCACACACGAGAAGATTATCACGTCCTTCTCTCGGCCCTGCACGCGTCACACATGACCACATGGTGTCATCGGCATGTGAATGCATGGTGTCATCGGCATGTGAATGCATGGTATCATCGGCATGTGAATGCATGGTATCATGGGCATGTGAATGCATGGCGTGTACACCACAAGATCATGATCACGTCCTTCTGACCCTGCTCCCGTTCCATTACCCCCCAACCCTGATTCATTCAGCAGGTGGGTTTCAGAAACAGGCTGAAGCAGGAACGCACACAAGAGAATTCATGCATGGCCTTGTCATTGGCTAGCTGTCATGGATGCGCACAAAGTCATGGTGCACACATCAGCAGCACACACCTGAAAGCCATCCACATCACCACGCATCCACATCAGCACCTGCACAGACACGCATCAGCACACACCTGGAACCCATCGACAGTGTTGACATCCACCCTGTGAGCCCCCTCGCCCAGCAGCTCGCGGAACTTGTCTCGCAGCAGCTTCACCTGGGAGGAAGAACAAGAGGAGCGGGGAGATTCGGCATCTTTCAGGCCCGACCCGAACGAGACATTTGCTCATGCCTACTTTCAACATCATGTGCTCTCAGTTGACTCACAACTCGCCCAGCAGCTCTTGGAGCTTGTCTCGCAGCACCTTCACCTGCTGCTGACAGGAGGCATGGAGGAGGGGGGAAATTCGAGGCCGTTCAACATTGTGTGTTTTGGAGGGTGAATGCGGAAAAGCAATTCCATGATTTACCTTACGGAACTTTAAGGTTGAAGAAAATGCGCCCCTTTCTATCTGTGTGAAGTTTGCACTTGTTGACACATGTTACCTACAAAACTGAGGTCACCAGGACGTGAGCAGAAGCAATGAGGAAAGGCCATTTGCAAAGTACGTTGCAGTAAGTGTACGGGGAGAAGGCCCAATGAAGATGACACGCAGCGCACCTGGTGCTTGTACGGGGAGATGACACGCAGCGCACCTGGTGCTTGTACGGGGAGATGACACCGACATCAGAGGACTCCTTGAGTTGCGGGTATAAAGCCACCAGGTGGCGGTACAGCACCATCACAAACTCCGCCTCGTCCGCATTCATCCACGAGCCTCCCGCTGGTATGGCAGCAAGGGAGCGGAGATATGATTCGCAGTGAGTTGAGAGGGGAGTGAGGTGGAATGAAAGAGCACCATAAACCAGGTGGCGGTACAGCACCATAAAAAAACTCAGCCTTGCCCCCACGCACGCAGCTGCTCGTCCTTAGACTGGTGCAGGCTGAAGAAGAGGAACGGCCCGAACACCTGCTCCTTCCTCTTACTTCTCACAAGTTCATAACCCCTACCGTACCCCACACCTCCCTACTTCTCTCTCCCCATCTCTCTCGCCCTCCCGGCACGCACGAGGCTGTTCATCCTTGGACTGGTGCAGGTCGAAGAAGAAGAACGGCCCAAACACGCGCTCAGCGTGCCACGGCCGCGCCGTGTTCTGCGCCATCTGCGGCGCGTCCCTCAATGCCCCGCCGTAGAACTCGTGCGAGGGGAACTGCCGGATCTGGTGGGGCGGGCAAGCAGGGGAGATGGTGGGATGCGGTTGAGTTGAGAGTGGTTGGGTGGGCGGTTGTGGGATGGCAGCAGGAGCAGGGCATCTGAGGCGCGTCCCTCAACGCCCCCCACCATAGAACTCGTGGGAACGGAACTGACGAATCTGGTGGGCGGGGCGTGGGGGAAGCAAGTGAGAGGGATTGAGGGTGCAGGGTTGTGGGGCGGGAACAGGAGCAGGGCATCTGAGGCGCGTCTCTCAGCGCCCTACCGTAGAACTCGTGAGAGGGGAATGGCGGATCTGGCTCTGGCACATGGGGCATGACAGATGGAATCGGAATGACAAGGCAAGGAATATGCAGCATACCATGGGGTGCATGCGGTACTGTGTGTTGAGCATGACCACAGGGTACCCCGCCTGCTGCAGGCGAGAGAACATGCTGCCATGGTACCTGGTGGGGGTCAAGGGACATGGTGGGGGTCAAGGGACATGGTGGGGCAGGTCGGAGGGAAGGGATGGATGAGACACAGTGGGGAGATAAAACATGGGACGGGGGAAAATCAAGAGAAGACGGGTGAACGAGAGATGCGGCAAAAAGAAGCAGCAAAAAAGAAGTGACTGTGGTGCAACTCGCTAGCATGCCTCCACACCGCATGAAACCACCCACCCGTAGTGCACGGCACGTGTTGAGAGCACAGTGGCAGGCAGCTGCAGAGGGTCCCCCACCATGAACACCTGCGAACACCCGTGTGTCATTGGGATGAGCGTTGACGGCTCCACCTGGTGGGCATGTGGACAGGTTAGGCATGTGCGCACACAAGCACACGGGGGATCATGTAGCCATAAGTGTGCCCCACCATGAAGACCTGTGAGCACCCGTGTGTCATGGGGATGAGCGTTGATGGCTCCACCTGGTGCCCATGGGGGTTAGCCATGTAAGCACACACACACACGAGGGAGCATGCATGCATGCATGAGCAACACCAAGAACACATGCAAGCATCCATGCGTCATTGGGATGAGAGTCGATGGGTCCTCCTGGTGAGATGGGTGGGTGCGTGTAGGGCGGTTCAACATGGCTGCAGGCGTGAGCAATGCAGAGGCAGAGGCTATGCACGATGTAGGGGCAGGGGGCACAGGCAGAGACTGAGGCAGAGCAAGCGGGAAAGACAAAGCAAAGAAGTAGCTATTGCACTGACCGCTTGAGCCGCCTCGTCAATAACCACCACGTCAAACGGCCGTGACATGCGTCCTCTAGTCGACTCAAACAACAGCGGCAGATGCAAGGGCGAGAGAGGGACAGGTACTGCGTTGTTTCTGCCACTGCACTGACCTAACTCTGCTGAGGGCACTGACCTAACTCTGCTGAGGGCACTGACCGCCTGAGCTGCCTCGTCTATGACCACCACGTCGAATGGCCGTGACATGCGCGAGAAGACTCCTGACCCTGCGAAGGCGAGTGTTGAACACACCTTGGGACGGGTGGAGGGAAGGGGGAAGAAAAGGAGGCGTGGGAGGTGGGAGATGAGTCACGGGCATGGATGGATTGAGAGTGTGGGCGGTTTGTTGGACAGAGATGGTGGTGAATTTGCGGCAGGCGTGCACCAGCATGCTCTAGAAAACCTGCGGCTCACAACACAATGGTGGCGTGGATGGATGGTCCAGAGAGCAGAATAGCAAAAACGGCTGGTACTAAGAGACTAGGAGAAAAAAGGCGAGGCTGATTCTAGATTCTCACAATGGCAGCCTCATCGAGAATGGCAACTCGTATTCTGTCGCGCTCCACCCCGCCTGCCCCTGCTGTCTTGGCTCCCACCCCCGCTGCTGACCGTGCCATGCTGCTGGCGCGCTGAGATACCTGTGGTGGGGTGGGGAGGAGAGGAGAAAGGGGGAGAGAGCGGGGATGCGTTCACAGAAAGGGATGTGTTCACAGAAAGGGATGTGAGGGAACTCATAGAATACACTGACCATGCAGTCACATGTTCCACCATACATACCGCCACACATGCATATCACATGCATCCCACCCACCAGGTTATCCATGGCAACAGATGCGATGGAGTGATGAGCGTTGAGGCCCACTCGCACCACCAATGGCGAGTACATGCCTCCACTGTCGCCATGCTTCCATACCACAGCACACCCATCTCAACCCACCCCCCAATCGCCCCTCCCCATGGGCGCACCGCACCAGGTTGTCCATGGCGACGGAGGCGACGGAATGATGAGCATTGAGCCCCACGCGCACCACCGACGGTGAATACATGCCTCCACTGTCGTCCCTCAGCCCTGCACGCATGGGGTGGGGTGGGATGGGGTGGGATGTGATTGGGTGAATGGTGCGCACAGAGCGGAGCACTCGTACGCCTTTTGAGTTGAGAGAAACAACCACACACTACACGACATGTCTACAGCAACGGCAGAGCCCCACCTGTGTGCAGCAGGCGCAGCACGATCTCATCGAGAGCAGCGTTGGACGGCGCACACACGAGCACGTGCGCCCTCTGCTTGCGATGGCCCCCCAACACCTCCACCTGATGAGGAGCGAGAGGGTGGGAGGGGAACCGAGAGAGTAGGGGGGGTTCGTTAATTTGGACAAGCACGGATGGGGAAAGAGGAGCGAGGGAGAAAAGGGATGAGGAGCGAGGGAGAAAAGGGATGAGGGCAGGGGACACATGTAAGCCTGTACAAACGAATACGAATACGAATACGAATGTTTTTCCTGTATAATCTCCGAATACTGGGTGGTTTCTTATTTGACCGAATATTGGCCCAAAACCGAATACGAATACGATTCGAATACTTACCGAAAACCGAATACGAATGTGATTCGAATACTGCCAAATCCGAATCGAATATGAATAAGTGCCGAGTAATAATATATTTTGTATAGCCAGTGTCGAACGGCTAATGCATGTTCGACACAGGGTGATACAATGCACTTTATTATATCAACACCATGACTCAATCCCGCATCATGACCTTCCCGTATCCCGCTCCAGCAACTATCTTGCTAGGCTTTTGAGCACGGTTCTCATGAGGCCTGTTACAGACAGATGGCGAAAGATGATAGCCGCATGTGGGGAAGGAGGGGGGGGGGGGGGGGGGAGGGTGTTAGATGGTAAAATACCGAATAGTAACGAATACCCCAAATATCCGTTAGCCGAATATTCTACATCCACGAATACTCGTGACGCGAATATTTTCGAATACATGGCCATTTCTTATTCTCTCGAATTAAAAAATTCGAACGAATATCGAATAATTTTCGAATACCGAATATTCTTGCACAGGCTTAGGCACATGGACGCAGTACGTGAGACATGAAGAGAGAAGCAGCCCCAGGGAGGCGAGGTGAGTGAGGCAGGCAGGGTGGAGTGGAGTCACCACTGTGTGCCTCTCTGCAATGCAATCCATGCCCGACCAATCCCACCTGCTGTGTGCTGCCAAACACACCGCCACCTGAGCTCCCTGCACCGCTCTCCTCCTCATCGTCTGGCTGCACAGCTTCTCGCGGGTTCACCCCGTGTAGCCAGGGGGACGCGCGCACCCACTCCTGCTGCCGCTGCTGCCATGTCAGCCGTGTCATGTGCGTGATGTGCTGGGCGCCGTTGCTGGAGCAGGGTGAAGGGCGGTGGGGGAAAAAGGAAAAGGCAGGGAGGACGGTGGGGTGTCGTGGCTTCACATTACCAGCCCCTACCACTGCTGTGCTGCTGCTGCCACAGTACAATGCGAACAACAATGGCCTCATATACCCCACGAGGTGACTTTTGAGTCGACTCAAAAGTCACCTTTCTGCCACAGTACAACGTGGATAACTATGGCCTCATATACCCCACGCACATGCACAGGCTCTCTCACCCACCCACCCACCACCAAGCACCCACCCGGCATCGCCCATTTCATGCGCCGGCCGGCCATGCAGCACCACACTGAGCAGCCCCAGAATGGCCTGCGTCTTGCCGGTCCCAGGCGGCCCCTGGATGAGCACGAGGGGGCGGCGGGACAGCCCGCCCTTGATGGCTCTCAGCTGCGACTCGTTGTGGCTGGCGCTCAGATGCTCCATCAGCCCCTCCGGTACCCGCCACTGCTGCTGCTTCCCCTGCCCCCCGCCCGCACCTCCCTCCTCCTCTTCCTCCCCTCCTCCTCCCGCTCCTGCTCCTCCTGCTCCTCCCGTGCCGGCCTGGCCGTGTGCGTGGCCGGGCATGTGGGAGGCGAGGACGGTGCGGATGTAGGGCAGGGAGGGGGCGGAGCGCAGGGCAGCATACTCGCGGGAGATGGTGGACGTGTTGCACAGCTTGCTCACCCAACACGCACTGCCCCCTGTTGCTGCCGCTCCCATGAGGAACGACAGCATCCGGTTTGCCCGCGCCCGCTGCCGCACCCCCCACCTCCTCCCCTTCCCCTGCGCCTTCCCCTGGGGCGGTCCTGCTTCTGTGCCCGCCCCCCCTGGCCCTGTTTCTGCGGCCTGCTCCTCGTCTGTTGCTGCTGCGGTGCTGGGTGGGCCCCCTGGGTCCGCCCACTGCCAGGGGTCCTCCAGGCACAGTCGCAGGCGCAGAGACGTTTTGGTCTCGCGGGACTCCACACTGGCGATGGCGTATGTGCTGGGTAGTGCGCTGCCGCCCCATGGCTGTTGTGGAAGAGGGAACGGAGGGGATGACAAGGCAAGGAAGAGGGCGGAGGGAAGGGAGGGGTGGGAGAGGTGGGAGAGGGAGTATGGCGTACGTGGTGGGCAGTGCGCTGCCGCCCCATTACTGTAAGAAAAAGTGGGGAGGGAGGAAAGCGAGCAAGAGGGGAGGTAGGAGGCAAGGGCAGGGAGAGGTGGTTGATTTACCCACAAGCCCCCAAGTGAAGAAACAATTTTTTTTTTCCTGTTTGAAAAGTGGGGGAGCGAAGAGGTGGCGAGAGAGATAGAGAGAGCGAGGTGACCTTTTCCTTGGAGAGCAGCAGCAGGTCGTTGTCATGGCAGTCCGCCACGAGGGCCTCTTTGGACGCCACCCCCACCATGTGGAACTCGTTGGCCCTCTCACAGCGCACCGCCACCACCAGATGACTCTCCATGTCCCCTGTTATGTAGGAGAGACACCGAGGCCATGTGGGTGGATACAGCGGACGCCACAGAGGAGGCGCCAGGCAGGATGATGGGGAGTGGTGGGCAGCTCAGATTCTCCGTGCCACGTGGCTTATGACTATTGGAGCAACATCATGCGCACGGAATAGGAAATGGGATGGCATCAACTGCCTGCGTACACAACACACACACTCCCTCTCTTGTCCTCCCCCTCTCACCTTGCTCCTCGTCGCCTCTGAGGATCTGAGCGCGGCACTCCTCCAGCAACAGTCGTTCAAACACGTCCACATACTCCTCCACACCACAGCATGCCCATGTGCCCATGCAATGCAACCATGCGCGTCGTGGCACCCCATTGCCTTCCATTGCTAGCACAGGGATGCAATCATTCGCATACACAGCAATGCCCCCTCTCCTCCCCATTCTACCCCCACCACACACCTTGCTCCTCCGCCCCTCTGAGGATCTGCGCGCGGCATTCCTCCAGCAGCAGGCGTTCAAACACGTCCACATACTCCTCTGCACTGCTGAACTGCACCGGCACCTCCCTCAACTCCTCCTCCTCCCCGCCCTCCGCCTCCCCGTCCCCCTCTGCTGCCTCCTCTGCTTCCTCTGCCACTGCCTCTGCTGCTGCCCCGCCTTCCCCCTCCCCCCCCTCTCCGCCTTCCCCCTCCCCTCCCTCTCCGCCATCCACCTCCATCCCCTCCCCCTGCGCCCCTAGCGCCGCTGCTACCTCCGCGCCTGCCTCTGCATCAGCCAGAGCAGCGTCCTTAGCCCCATCACCCTCCCTCTCCTCCCCCTCCTTCTCCTCCTCCCCCCCAGCAGCAGCAGCAGGGAGCTGGGGGAGCTTCCTGGGCTGGCGCTTCCTCTCCCTCACCTGCTCGTGCGCACACAGCGCCACATGCATCAGGGGGTGGGGTGGAGAGAAGGTGGGGCAGTGGGGAGAGAGCAACGCGCAGGGGGGGATGACAAGTAGGAAGCAAGAGGCACGAATTTTGAGGCGCCCCAAAAGTAGGCACGATTGCACGAACGAGTATTGCCTTGAAGAGGATGAGAGCACGAGTACCGTACTACCTTGGAGAGTGCGAGCATGTGGAAGAAGTCCCAGCTCAGCACGGTGCGCAGCAGCCGCGCCGTGCTCGCCGCCTTCTCCCCGCCCGCCTCCTTCCCGCCCCGCCCGCCTCCCGCACCGCCCGCCACTGCGCCCACCGCCATGCCGCCGTGCTACAGACTCAGCGCGCGCGCGCGCTCGTTCGCTAGCTACCCTTGCGCACTCGTTCACTGATTCACGCTGGCGCTCGTTCTCCCCGCATGGGCCCGCCTACCCGCCGCTGCTGTGCTCTGCTGCTCGACGCTGCTGCGCGATGGGTCTGGGTCTGGGTCACAGCTCGTAACAATTCGCCTTATGAGGCGCAAAAATCTAGCAGGGGAACGCGGTAGCGAGGCTATCGGTGCAATTCCTGGAGGACGGAGGAGTTCGGTTCGGTGATTCACCAAGTTTTTACAACCCTTCACACAATTCGTCGTGTTTCGACTGGGCTTCTCGAGTCCGACTGTATCGAGTTACAAACATATGCAGAGTTCAAGGTTCAGGGTTTCGGACATTTGGCTCGTGCTTTATTTTCCTCTTGGCCTCGCGCCAATTCCGATTCTGCCCCGCATTCACGCCTGATATCGCGCCACCTCGCACCATGGCTCCTCGCGCAGCGCTTCGCGCTTGCTCACACTGACCCGCGACTAGCAGAGCAGTCGCGCAGTCGCACAGTCGCTCAGTCGCACAGTCGCGCAGTCGCGCAGTCGAGCTGCACGGGAAGGGCCAGTCGCAGGGGCGCCATGGCAACCCCCTTCGCGCAGGCGCGCGCACCCGGATTGCGCGAAGGGCTACCGCCCTTACCCGCGCGTCCGATCCGCTTGGCGCATCCTTGCGTGCCACGTGGCTTAATATCGCGCGTGCCACTGTCGGGGGAACGATTGTGCTTATATCGTGGCCTTCGCTTAACGTGGGATTCATGCGGATACTGGGGGGTGAACAATTTTTGTCGTACCTACACCCCGCATGTCCGGGAAAAGGGCACACGGGCGCACGAGGGGCGGATATGCGCTGCTGCGGGGGGGAGGCGGCGAGGCGGCACGGCGCAGCAGGAGAAGGGCGGACGGACTGGCGGAAAGGATGGGTTGAAAGCGGGAAAGGGGAAGGGGAAGGGTATGAGGGAGGGGAGGTACCGGGGGGGAGGGGCGGCGGAGAGGCAGACCTTGCGGGGTCTGATTGCGCTTGAGCGGGCGTTGGATGGGGGAAGGCGGGGGGAGGTTGCGCAAGGGACGGTGGAAGGGGATGGCATGCGCGGAGGCCAAGGGGGGAAGAAGTGGAAGAGGCGGGTTGTGCTGCTGCGGTGCGATCTGAGTGACCTGGTGGAAGGGGGGAGTGCGGGGAACGGGGGGAAGGGGGAGGGGGAGGGGGAGGGGGAGGAGTGCGAGGTGCGGAATGTGGGCAGTTTGAGGCTGATGCTGCGCGAGTGGGCGCGGAGATACGCGCTAGTGGTGGTGGTGGCGGGGGAGTGGGCCCCTGACACGGCCTCTCAACATGCTGTAGCTGGTGGGTCATGAGGCATGATGAGGCATGATGAGGCGTGATGAGGCATGATGAGGCATGATGAGGCATGATGAGGCATGATGAGGCATGATGAGGCATGATGAGGCATGATGAGGCATGATGAGGCATGATGAGGCATGATGAGGCATGATTAATGAGGCACGAGGCATGGGAGTGGGAGGACGCTTTTCTATTGTGCTAAACCCCCCTCTCTTGCTCCTGTTGCACCCTCCCGCCTCCCCATGTGCAGCCCTGCTATCCACGGCTTGCGGCCTCCCCCAGTCCCAGCCTGTCCAGGTCGCACCTCTGCCCTTCGCCCCTCTTCTCTCGCCCCCAGCACCAGCCACCCCCATCACCACAGCTCACCCAACCGTCGCCCCCACCACCACCACTAACTCAGCAACCACCCGCAACTCCCCCTCTCACCCACCACACTCTCCTCACCTCACGCCCCCCCCCGCTCGCGTCCTGCTGCTGCCCAACCTCCGCGACCGCCACGTGTCATCTGCCGATGCCGCCAACTCACCCGCCCTGGCTGCCACGCTGGCAGGAGTGGCAGACGAACCAGATAGCGCAGCAGCGCAGCAGGAGGATTCACGAGAGCCATCCCCCCGCCCTGCTCTGCGCGTGTCTGCGTGCCCGTTGGTGGACCTGGTGGTGCTGGACGCGCCTTGTGCGTGCCACCGCGTGCTGGCATCGTCCGTGGGCGTGGCAGCAGTGGTGGGGCGAGCTGTGGCCGGGCTGAGAGTAGAGCGGGAGCTCATGGGGGCGCTGGGGGCCTTGGGGGAAGCGGGGGAAGCTGGTGACGTGGGGGACGTTATATTGTTGGGCTGGATGGGGAGAGGGGAGGCTGGAGAAGTGAGTGGTGGTGAGGGGCGCAGTGCGGTGGTGGCAGTGGTGGGAGCGGCAAGCATGGGTCGCAGTGGTGCGTTGATCCGTGCCCTGCTGCCTCGCTGCCAAGCCGTTGTGCTCTCCGGCCCTGTGCTACCTGCCCTCCTCGCTGCTGCTGCTTCTTCGGGCCATTCACGCCCCTCGGATGCTTCAACTGGTTCGCGTGGTTGTGGGTTTGACCTTACTCGTGTGCCTGACTTCCCTGCCCTCACCACACTACACCACAACGAGACCCCAGAGAGAGTCAAGGCAGCAGAGAGCGTGGAGGCAGAGAGAGCTGACAAGGTTCCACGTACCGTCGTCTCGTCCCTCCTAGCCGCTCTCCCCCGCCCGTCACCTCAAGCGCTGGCGGAAGCCTCTGCATTCCTCTCCTCGCTGCCCCCTCCCCTTCTCTCCCGCCTCGTGCTGCCCCTTGCTGTGCGTGCAATACCTGGTGATCACGACACCAGCAGTACCACTCACTCCCACCACCGCCACCACCAGCGCCAGCAGCAGCAGCAAAAGCAGCTGTATGAGACGGAGCAGCTGTGCGAGTGGCACCAGCAGCAGCGGGTGGAGCTGTCCCCTTCAAGCATTGAGGACATCGCTGGGCTGTGTGCCACACTCAACTGCCAGGTCCGCACCCACCTTCCCCGCACCCCCCCTTCACCACATCCCCATCTCCACGTGCTCCCTCATGCCTCTCACCACAATGCTACAGCTGCATTCGCCCCACCTCCCATGCGTTCCGCATTCACTCTCCTCCGTTTTGCCAGCGTCTTGTTTCCCTCTCCGCCTCAACCCATGAATCCAGCAGACTGTCTTCTGGGCTGGCTCCATCTCCCTGCACCCACCACGACCCAGCACCCGTGCATCAACGCATGGGGCGCACGGGGCGAGTGGGTCAGAGCATGGGCTAGAGGAGACAGGGTCGCATGTGCTGCCGTGTGCCGACTCGGCTCTGCTCGCTTATCTCACCACCGCGCCCACCATCGAAAGCAGCAGCGCCAGCAGTCCTCGCACTTCCACCACCACTGCCACCATCCCTGCTGCTTCTACTGCCGCTGATGCGCTGGTGAGGCGGCCCAAGCTCATAGTGGCTGGGCGGCAGCTGCAGCAGGTGCTGAGGCGGCAGTTACGGCAGCGTGTGAAGATGGTTGAGGGGAAGGGGAGTAGAGACGGGGATGGGGATGGAGGGAGGGAGTGTGTGGTGGTGGATGGAGGCACGGCTTTGCTTCGAGGACTGCAAGGGATTCCTCTGCCTGGCGTTGATTGCCTTGACTTTGTGAGTTGACTGCCTTGACTTCGTGAGTTGACTGGCATTCCCTGCATTGACTAGTCATTTACCAGTCACCAGCACTATTGAGCTAGTCTTGTGCTGCTTCCATCCCCTTATATCCCCTCTACCTCCTCTCACTCCCATCTCTCCCAGGTGCCGCTGCCGCCTCCTGATTGGTCCACAGTCTTCCACGATCCCTCGCTGCCTCTCACTGTTGACATCGGCTGTGGTGAGTGCGAGACTGCTGCATGCCTGGAAGAGTGAGAGGAGTTGTGAGGAATAGAGAGCTCCAGAGGGGCCCAGAGGATTCGGCAGAGTTCAGAGAGAATAAGAGAAGCTCAGAGTGTGCACCCTGGGTGGCCTTTGCCGTGCATGTGTGCATGTGTTAATGTGTGCACGTGTTAATGTGTGCATGTGTTAATGTGTGCACGTGTTAATGTGTGCACGTGTTAATGTGTGCACGTGTTAATGTGTGCACGTGTTAATGTGTGCACGTGTTAATGTGTGCACGTGTTAATGTGTGCATGTGTTAATGTGTGCATGTGTTAATGTGTGCACGTGTTAATGTGTGCACGTGTTAATGTGTGCATGTGTTAATGTGTGCACGTGTTAATGTGTGCACGTGTTAATATGTGCACGTGTTAATGTGTGCATGTGTGCATGCGTGCAGGCAACGGGCGCTTCTGTCGCAGCATGGCTCCGCGGTTCAGAGGGGCGAGGAACTTCCTTGGGGTGGAGATCAACCCACATTTGCGTGGGGTTAGGGAGACAAGAACATGTACAAGTGAACAAGTGAATACTCGTCCTCACTCACACTGAAACGCACACTATTAAACACACTCTCTCTCACATTCTCATTCCCACTTACATTCACACTCGCACTCTCATGCGCACTCACACTCACTCGCACTCCCATTCACACGCTCACTCTCTCACCGCCGTCTCCCCCTGTCCCCCCCTCACCGCCTCAACCGCACATCACACCAGCTGGTAAAGAAGGCGCTCTCTCTCGCCATCAGCTCTCCTGCACCGCATGCCCCACATGGGCCGACCTCTGACACTGACATTTCCAAGCAGCGCAGGGAGCACGCACCAAGCAACGTGTATGAATGCCACTCCCCCTGCCCCGCACTTGTGCATACATATTGTCCTTGCGACTCCTGTCGACTCAAACCCACCGCAGGCTATCATGCTAGCGTGGCAGTATAGCACCCTCAACTTCACGCATGCAACCACTGGCTTCAACGTCCCCTTGCCTCTGGCACCCACGGCAGTGCCCAAACCCAGACTTTGCAGCGAGCAGGATTTTTTAGTCGATTAAACAGCCCAATCTGTCAACGCTCCATTGCCCTTCTCGCACATGGCAGTGCCCGGACCCTGACTTTGCAGCGAGCAGGAGGGCGAAGGAGAGGGGAACAGCACACGTGCACCGGTGGGGCATGCTCACCCCTGCCCTCGTGCACGCCATGCTGGCCCTGCTGCACCCCTCTGGCAAGGTGAGTATACTCTGATACACCAATGCTAGTGTGTGCCAATCTGCCTTTTTGTGCGTATATCATAAGAACGTCTTTCGTTTTTGCATTGAACATTTCTGTGAGGCCACTTTTCCATGATCTATGAGAGCCTGGTCACGGTATGGGGCAATAATGGGTAAGCGCGGTAATCTTTCTTGCTTGCAGATTTTGATCGAGTCGGATATAGAGGAGGTGGCAACGCGGCTGACATACGATGCCATTAGATGGTCCCAAAGCGAACTCATACCATGCAAAGGCGATGCCAGTGCCAGTGATTGCGATGGCCTTTCAGACCCTGACATGGCACAGGAGGGAATTGGAGGTGAAGTTACCCAGCGTTTTTCTGCACTGCAAGAACCTTTGGTTGCAGAAGTGGAGTCAGATTGGGAAGTGCATGCAAAGAAAAAGGGCCGATGTATGACAACATATTGGCTCCAGAAGAGATGTACATGATGTATTAATTCGTTATTGGAAAATATCAAATCCAACTTCTAGTACATCGTGTAACAGTTCATAAGTTCCGAATGTATCAAGGACACTACGCTACTGGCGGGTTCCTGCCCGAGTCTCTGAAGAGTACGCACCAACCAGACAAAAACAGCGTTGGGCTGGCAGCGAACAAACCCATTATCTTACATAGACTAGACTCCAGTGTCGTGAACAGTCCGTATCAACTACACGACGCGTCTGAGTCTCCGCAATCAATGGCGGCTGCCACGGCAGTCGCATGGCGACGTCGCAGCGTGCGATCGCTTATCTCTGTGGCGTTCTCTCTCCTGCTGCTCCTGTCGCACGTTTGCTCCGCTTTGCGCCTTTCAACGGGCAATGACGATAAACACGGTCTTTCGCGCGTTATCGCGTCAGCTTATACCGGGAATGTATCTTCTGCTGCTGAATTCGACCCGATTAAGGAGTCTGAGACTCCTGGTCGCGTCGTTGCTAGGGTTTTGAAAGTGAAGAAGAAAAAGAAGAAGTCGGCGAGTAAGACCGCGAAAGCAGCGGCGATCGCGGAGGAAGTAGAAGGAAGTGCGGACGACGCGGAGAGAGGAACGGCGGACGATGCGGCCGACGCGGAAGTCGCGCGAGAAGAGGGGGACGAGGAGACGGCTCGAGTGGTTAAGAAGAAGAAGACGACGACAAAGAAGTCGAAGAAAACGAAGACGACGGGGAGCACGAAGGCGGTTGAGTCTGTGAGAGAAGCGGAGGGGGAAGAGGAGGCGGAGGGGGGAGAAGAGGCGGAGGGGGGAGAAGTTGCGGAAACGGCGAGGAGAGCGGATAGCAAGAGCGGAAAAAGTGGGAGCGGAAATGGGGACGAGGGGGATGACTTTTCCGCAGTGGATAAGGCGATGGCGGAGGCGGAAGCGGTGATTGCGGGGAAGGCGGACGATGCGGAGGAGGGGGAAGGGGGGGGGGAGGGGGAGCGACCGAAGAGAGTGAAGGGGAGGAAGCGTGGGTCGAGGGAGGCGGACGGGGGGGAGGAGGGGAGTGAGGAGGAGGAAGGTGGAGAGGGTGTGGTAACGAACAAGTCAAGCAAGTCAAGAAAGTCAACCAAGTCCACGGCAGCAACAAGGGGGACGGCAGTTGAAGGGGAAGAGCAGGAGGCGCACGGTGAGGAGGGTGAGCGGGGTGAAGGGGAAGAGGGGAGAGCTGCGGTGGCAACGAGCACCACAAAGAAGAAAAAGAAGTCGTCAAAGAAGCAAAAGGAGGCGGAGGAGGAGGAGGGGAAGGAGGTGGGCCAGGGGGAGGATGGGGCACGGCAGCGGGGAGAGGCGGAGGGCGATGGAGAGGGTGGTGGGGAGGCGGGAGAAGGGCGGGCTGCCGGGGTTGAGGAGGAAGGAGGGCTAGGTGGGGAGGGTGAGACGACAAGAGAGAGTAAGATGAAGCGCAGGAGCGAGGGCAGGGACGACGGCACGGGCGAGGGCGGGAGCGAGAGCAAGAGTGAGGGCAGGGACGACGGCAGAGACCCGGCGGGGGCCACAGCTGCAGCTGTGGGGGCTTCAAGGGGCGAAGAGAGAGAGGCAGCAGACGGAGCAGGGGAAGGGGGAGGAGGAGGAGAGGGAGGCGGCGAGGAGGTGCAGGTGGCGTTCACAGGGCCACAGGACGTGATGGACGTGCCTGTGGACGAGGAGATGGTCTCTGTTGACCTCACCGATGTGCCCCCTGACCCTCAACCCCCCCACCCCACCCCCGCTGCTGATTCACATGCTGAAGCAGCAGGGAACGGGCCACTGGGGGACGCTGACGGGGCGACTAACGGTGGTGGCGACAGCGGTGGTGGCGGTGCCGATAGAGGTGCCACCTCTGCTGGGGAGGATTTTGGGAAAGCTGCGGTGGCGGCAGGCGAGGATGCAGAGCAGGAAGCGGGGTTCCTCGCCCGCTGGGTCATTGCACCCCTGGCTGCAACCCTGGAACCCATTCTCGCCCCTCTCTACCCCCTCACATCCATCTTCCTCTCGCCCGGCCAAACAGTGCTCCTTGCCGCTGGCCTTGCCCTGCTTGCCTGCTGCTGCTGCTGCCTCTGCTGCTGCCGCTCCCTCTCCCGCCTCGTGAGAGGCGGCCGGGGGGCAGGGCTGGGAGCAGCAGCGGGGAGCAGCGGCAGCTGGTTCGGCGGGAGGCACGGGCCAGGTGCAGCGTACTCTGAGGTGGCTCGGAAGGAGGTGGATTTGTCTGTTGCGTTTGGGCAGCAGATTCCTGGGGGAGGGACGCAGGGAGGGGGAGGGCAAGGAGGGGTGGGGGGAGGAGCAGGAAGGAGCAGGGCGGATGGTGGGTCAGAGTGGGATGAGTGGGACGAGGAATGGGGGGGTGCGAGAGGGGGGGGTGGAGGAGGGAGAGAGAAGGGGGTGGGGAGCATGGGAAGTGGAGGGAGAGGATTGGGTGGTGGGGATGGGTATAGTTCTGGGGAAGGAAGTAAAGGTGGTGTGAGGAAAGGGGGGAAGCTGGTAGTGAGCAAGGGGGCAGGGGCAGCTGGCAAGGAAGGGTGGAAATCATGAGATGAATATCATACCGGTAGCAGGAACAGGGTTGCGTTGGACGGTACAGGCTTGTTGAGTATCACAGCTTCATCAATTTAACCGTAGTGAGGAACCTTTCGAGGTCAAACCTCAAACCTTTCGAGCTCGCCAATTTGTGTTTGCGGACCTTTCGAGCTCAAATCTCGCCTGATGGTGTATATAGCATAGACTATCCGAATCCACAAAGAAACCTGGAGCTAAAAGGTCATTGTGCCTTGCAGTTGAATGAACCATGCGGTACAAGGGGTGCAGGTGACGTGTGGTTGGAGGGGGGTGCCATGTAGGCTATGAAAGGTTTTCCCTATATTGAAGTTAATGTTGAATGTCTTGATATAACTGAGGGCAAATTCTGGAAATCAGCAGTAGTATATACAAAGATGCACACATACCGTATGATACGATAAACACTATCCGAAAAACCCTTTGAACACTCTCCTCATCCACTCCTCCCCAGTAATACTTTTCACCTCCTCTCTATCAATCAACGCCGCTGCTCTGATCATGTCCGATGTCGGACTGTAGTAAAAAGGAAAACGACTGGGACTGTGTACGATGTACCCCAGCTCCACCCCCTTTCCTCCATCCCCCGCATTATCAGCAATACCCAAGTTCAGTTTCGTACCATCTACGTCAATCCGCACATTATACCCGAATTGAGTTTTCTTCAAACAGAATATTCCAGTCTTCGGCAAAGTTTCAGGCGCATCCTTGTTGAATCGCACCTTTTCCTCAAGGCTGTGCCTTTCACCAACTTTCCGACGTGTAAGACGTACCGTATACCGTACGCCTGCGTTGTTTTGTACTGCAAGCGTTCGTACAGTGTGAACCACTTCAAATGCCTCAACCACGTCGTCCTTTTGGCATCGTACCTTGTTGGCGGGACTTTCATTTTGCCACAGTGACGTGAGTATACCAGAGAAGATCTTTCCCTTTTCTCCTCTTATCACCTCCACACCGCACCCCACGACGAGCTCGCCCTCTACCACCTTCACCCCCGCCTCCACACCTCCACCAAAGGCTTCAACCTTCCCCTTCCCTAGAGGGCGGTAATCCTGGTCCTGGTGGGATGAAAAAGGGGAGAAATGGTGGGAAATAACAGGGCACAAAATGAGAGGGAGCAAAACATATACCGATGCATGCTACTATACAGAATTCTTGGTCAAACTAATAAAAACAACTTATTGGGCGGAGCAGTTGGGCTAAGGTTCTTGGTTAATGGACGGCTCGAGCTTGGGCTGTCTTTCCCAGATTGGTCACTTAATTTGACCTCATTGGGTTGATGTCGCGAATTCCTCTACACCACCTACTTTGTGTCGCTTCTTGGGACTGTACCTTGCAAGCTTACTCTAAGTATCCAACCGGACAATTTCCGTACCTCCAGAAGTGCTTCCATTGCCTTTTGAAGGCCGGCTTTCAAGTCGGGAAGCAGCGAAGAAACCCGAACATCCACTCCCTTCTCCCTGGCCTTTGCCGCAACATCAGGCGGCACCTCGACCTGGTACGCGAGCACCACAGCCCCGTGAGTAGCTGCGACATCAATGTCCTTCATTGTCACGGCACCAAAGGGCTGTAAGAGAAAGCAAGAGTGAAAAGAAAATTTTGGCTCACTGTCAATATTTAGATGGAAACGAGCTGCGTGTCCTGGGAAAGAGGTAACAGAGGGGAGGAGGAAAAGTGAGGATGTACAGAACACAAAGGGGATAAAATATACTTGGAGTGTCAAAAGGACAGAGAGTATAATTTCGTCTTTTCAAAGTCAAGTAAAACTGCATTACAAATCATATTACATGCAGAAGGAAGCGCAGTGTCACTGTATCCTGTGGCAGCGCTACAATCGCATCGTGAACGTCTCCCACTGCAGCCTGAAAGGGAGCAAAGGTGTGCATGCAAAATGTGAGCAAGATACATGAAACAACTGTACTCAAACAGAACATGTGTGGGCAAGTGGCTACAATAAGGTGTCTGATGCACATTGGAGAACTGAGAATGGGGGCCACCAATCGAGAATGGGGGCCACCAATTGAGAATGGGGGCCAGCAATTGAGAATGGGGGCCAGCAATTAAGAATGGGGGCCACCAATTGAGAATGGGGGCCACCAATTGAGAATGGGGGCCACCAATTGAGAATGGGGGCCACCAATTGAGAATGGGGGCCAGCAATATGCACGAAATATTTTACCATTCCCTCTCTCCCATTCGCAATTGCATGCATGCTCATTTCCTATCAATGATCCACCTCATTCTTGCCTGATTGCGAACTTTGAGGAGAACATTCATGCGAATGTGATTTAACCCATCGTCGCCACTTGGTGAAGGAGGGCAAGCCATCTCGTATCAAGCTCAAAGTCCGTGCTCTCAACACTCTGTTAAGGAAGGGGGGGGGGGGAGAGAAACAGAGGAAGTGAACAGAGATGGGGAAAGGAAGTTGTTAGGGCATCCATCATGGCCCTACAGCCATTCACAGGTGGCATGAGAGTAATTTGGAGTGATCGAAGTTGAATATGGCATCTGACGACAGAGAGTGGGGAAGGAGAGACGAGGAGCAGTTTGAAAGGGGAGGGGAGGAGAGGAATGGGGGGCAAAGGGGAGTGTGCGTTGTCAAGCCACCAGAGGGTGTCGGGGTGAGACAGGGCGATCTTAAGGGCTTCATCGAATTTGGACACGGCAGCTGCCGACAGTGAGTGGGGAAGCGATGGGAGGGGACGAGTGTAAAAAAAAACCACTCAGATCCACTGCCGCACTGCAGGCCACACAGACGCACGCACACACCTCCACTCGCGGTCCTTCTCCAATGACTGCAAGTGGCCCTGGCATGGGGAGCGGGAGGGGAGCAACTTGCATGTGAGGGATGCTGCTCGTCGCAAGAGCGCAGTGAAAGGGATGACAGGGACATGCAGCCCCAGCCACTCTAAAGAACGCTTCTCGTCCACAGGAACCCGGGCCCACGTGGCGTGGGAAGTGCTTGGGGCGGCGCGGCGAGGCATGGGAAAGGCAGCACGGGGGCTCGTCGCGGCAGTATGGTACTTGGGAGTCACTTTTTGAGAATCCTCAAACGGTAAGAAGCGGATCGGAGGGAAGAGGCGGATCGGAGGGAATAATACCTCCTCACACGTGCGGGGAAGGCGTTGATGTTTTGCATACCTCCTCACACGTGAAGATGGTTGATGAAAAAAAGGGAAGTGGGAGAGCATTCATGACCCTACAGCCACTCACAGGTGGCGCGAGTGAAGGTTGGCGGAGTGAGTCAGAGCGATTAAGAACGGCGGCGCGGCTGGTGTTGAAGCGTGGAGCGTGTCGAGGAGAGGCGAGGTAGAGAAGGATCAGTTCGAGACTCCCGAACTGGACAGAAATTCGGTCGCCTAGCTTCGATCGGCTGCTCTGGAAACTTCGATCTAGAAGAGCATAGACTCGTGTCTAAGCTTAGATTCAGACAATTCCACGACGGATCGAGCGAAAGACAGAAAGAGAGAACACAGCATACTGAGAAAGACATGTCCCTCTAACGAAGATGGGGCGTCGTGACAAGCTCGCGAGGCTAAGGCGGCGCGTCGGTCTTCCTGGTTTGCCCGTCTGAGACAAGCTAACGCAGGAACGGATCGGATCGCGTTGTGGAGGTCTGCTTGCGTGGGATCAATCAACCGGTGCTGCATGCAGCTCCCACTTGTCGCGTGAATTCCTCTTCACATCACGCGGCAGGGTAATGTGGTTTCCCCTTCAGAGCACACTGTTTGCCTGTATAATGTACTTGCTTTTTCCTAGCAAAAGTTACAGTGACAACTTGTCTTAAAGCCCAAGACCTGAATTACTCAACGGAAGTCAACGCCAAAAAACTAGGTTCGGAAGGCAGCCAGAGGGAGGTTCGGTTGGGTTGCGAAACCCTTTCACTCGCGAAACCAGTTTGCGACAAAGTTGTGTCGCTTCAAAGAAGACTTGTGATGGATGGTGTGCCTCCCACAACAACCAGAGTTAGAGTGTGCCTACTAAACTGTGCACACTTCGACAATCCTAGCATGCAGACTAAAACTAGGCATAATATAGAAAACGTGTAGGCAGGGCGTGGCCGTTGACTCTAGAGGGATCAAGGCGCGATGCGATGGTGTAGGATGCGGAATGGGAGTTCGAAGCGTAAGGATATTGTGCGGCGTGCGATGAGATATGGTGTAGAATGCAGGGTTCGCATAACCCACACGTTCGGCCAAGCGTAACCATCCCCTCGCCCTCGCTTTCCTTTCCCCAGGTCCGACGCTTCCTCTGTCCGTCACCCTCGTCGTCGCCTTCGCTTCCGCAGCCCGTCGCATTCGCTTCCCCCGCCCGTCGCCACCTTCGCTTTCGGATGACCGTTGCCTTTTCTTATCCCGCCCGTCGCCTTCGCTTCTTCCCCCCCGTCGCCTTCGATTTCCCCGCGCGTCGCCTTCGCTTCCCCCGCGCGTTGCCTTCGCTTCCCCCGCGCGTCGCCTCACTTCCACCGCGCGTCGCCTCGCTTTCCCCGCGCGTCGCCTTCGCTTACGCGCCCGTCGCCTTCGCTCACCTCCTTCCGTCGCCTTCGTTCCCCCACTGCTCACGCCCTTACTCCCATGCTCACGCCCTTACTCCCATGCTCACGCCCTTACTCCCATGCTCACTCCCCTACTCCCATGCTCACGCCCTTACTCCCATGCTCACTCCCCTACTGCCATGCTCACGCCCTTACTCCCATGCTCACGCCCTTACTCCCATGCTCACGCCCTTACTCCCATGCTCACGCCCTTACTCCCATGCTCACTCCCCTACTCCCATGCTCACGCCCTTACTCCCATGCTCACGCCCTTACTCCCATGCTCACGCCCTTACTCCCATGCTCACGCCCTTACTCCCATGCTCACTCCCCTACTCCCATGCTCACGCCCTTACTCCCATGCTCACTCCCCTACTGCCATGCTCACGCCCTTACTCCCATGCTCACTCCCCTACTCCCATGCTCACGCCCTTACTCCCATGCTCACTCCCCTACTCCCATGCTCACGCCCTTACTCCCATGCTCACGCCCTTACTCCCATGCTCACGCCCTTACTCCCATGCTCACGCCCTTACTCCCATGCTCACTCCCCTACTCCCATGCTCACGCCCTTACTCCCATGCTCACTCCCCTACTCCCATGCTCACTCCCCTACTCCCATGCTCACGCCCTTACTCCCATGCTCACTCCCCTACTCCCAGGCTCACGCCCTTACTCCCATGCTCACTCCCCTACTCCCATGCTCACGCCCTTACTCCCATGCTCACTCCCCTACTCCCATGCTCACGCCCTTACTCCCATGCTCACGCCCTTACTCCCATGCTCACGCCCTTACTCCCATGCTCACTCCCCTACTCCCATGCTCACGCCCTTACTCCCATGCTCACTCCCCTACTGCCATGCTCACGCCCTTACTCCCATGCTCACGCCCTTACTCCCATGCTCACGCCCTTACTCCCATGCTCACGCCCTTACTCCCATGCTCACTCCCCTACTCCCATGCTCACGCCCTTACTCCCATGCTCACTCCCCTACTGCCATGCTCACGCCCTTACTCCCATGCTCACTCCCCTACTCCCATGCTCACGCCCTTACTCCCATGCTCACTCCCCTACTCCCATGCTCACGCCCTTACTCCCATGCTCACGCCCTTACTCCCATGCTCACGCCCTTACTCCCATGCTCACTCCCCTACTCCCATGCTCACGCCCTTACTCCCATGCTCACGCCCTTACTCCCATGCTCACGCCCTTACTCCCATGCTCACGCCCTTACTCCCATGCTCACGCCCTTACTCCCATGCTCACTCTCTCCCCCTCTGCTCACTCTCTCCCCCTCTGCTCACTCTCTCCCCCTCTGCTCACTCTCTCCCCCTCTGCTCACTCTCTCCCCCTCTGCTCACTCTCTCCCCCTCTGCTCACTCTCTCCCCCTCTGCTCACTCTCTCCCCCTCTGCTCACTCTCTCCCCCTCTGCTCACTCTCTCCCCCTCTGCTCACTCTCTCTCCCCCTGCTCACTCTCTTTCTCCCTGGACTCACTTATCTTTCCCCCCTGTTTACTCTCTATTCCCCTTCGTTCAACCCTTTCTCCCCACAATCCCTCTCACCACCCCTGTTCACACCCCTTGTTCCCCTCTGCTCACTGGCTTTCCCCTTTGCTCACCCCCTTCTCCTGCCTGCTGACTATATTTCCCCCTTTGCTCACCCCCTTCTCCTGCCTGCTGACTATATTTCCCCCTTTGCTCACCCCCTTCTCCTGCCTGCTGACTATATTTCCCCCTTTGCTCACCCCCTTCTCCTGCCTGCTGACTATATTTCCCCTTTTGCTCACCCCCTTCTCCTCTCTGCCCACTCTATTTCCCCCTTCGCTCACCCCTCTGCCCTGTTCACACCTCCCATACATGCCCTTCTGTACCTCCAACCTCCAGCCCTCGCTTATTCGCCATATCCCCTCTTCTCTCCCCATTCCATCGCAGAACCATGCTTGTACATGTGCCCAGCACCATGGGTCCCAACAGGAGTGGGTTGAAAAGTTTTCACCTCTTAGATTTGTGCTTGTGCCTATAGTCCACCCTTGGCGACCTTTATGGAAACGTAATTTGCTTTGTTGCACTTGCGGTGGTCATGTGCATTTATGCTCCGAATCACATAGTGGTGTATTATGAGAAGAATCCAACATCAGTATATGACGTAGCTAACAGCAAACACAACACAACAGGATGTATAGCAGACCTGCACAAACACGAACCACGAACTCTGATGTGTCAAAGTTGGAAGCAGCGGGGTTGGATATGAAACGACGACAATGGAAAGGCAAGAAGGCAGGGAACCATCCATGCACGGAGAACATGAGCTAGGGAGACACGGAGGAAGGGAAGAAAGGGGGGTGATATGAAGCGTGGGTGGAAAGGGGGGAGAGAGCGGGGAAAGGAACTGAGGCAGAGGATTGGGGGGAGAGAAATAGATGAAGAAAGGAAGGGGAAGTAGGAGGGGACGATATTGGGTGGGAGGAAGGGAGGATGAAAGGGAGGAAGGGAGGATGCCGGGCGGATGAGAGAAAGGGCGGATGAGAGGACATGGGGATGAGAGGACATGGGGATGAGAGGACATGGGGATGAGAGGAAGGGTGGATGGGAGAAAGTGAAGGGGGAAAGAGGGATAAAGAGAGGGACGAAGGAGGGAGGAAAGAGTGTGACCGGGTACAATGGGGATGGTAAAAGGGTGAAACTGACACGCAGGGTTGGAGTGAGGAAGAGAGTAGGAGAGCGGGAGATGGAAAGAGGAAGGGGTCTGGATCGAGGGGGGATGAAAGAAATGTGAGAATGGTAGGAAGGGAGAACGGAAGGAAGGGAGGGAGGGAGGACGGGCGACAGAGAGGGGAAAGAGGGTAGTGAGGCAGAGAGTGTGGGAGAGATGGAGGAAGGGAGGAAGAGAGAGGGAGAGGACGACGACTGGGGGAACGAAGGAACGGAGTAAGGGAGGAGGGTAAGAGGTAAAAGTGCGGCAAGGTATAAGGGTGGAACGGGGGATAGGAGGATCCCTGCACCCTCTCTCTCTACCCCCCGCCTCCCCCGCTCCCCTGCCCCGCCTCCCCCGCTCCCCTGCCCCGCCTCCCCCGCTCCCATGCCCCGCCTCCCCCGCTCCCCTGCCCTGCCTCCCCCGCTCCCTTGCCCCGCCTCCCCCGCTCCCCTGCCCCGCCTCCCCCGCTCCCCTGCCCCGCCTTCCCCACTCCCCTGCCCAGCCTCCCCCGCTCCCCTGCCCAGCCTCCCCCGCTCCCTTGCCCCGCCTCCCCCCGCTCCCCTGCCCCGCCCCCTGCAGCATTGCGCTCCTTGCTGCCCGCCTGCACGCGCTGCCCCAGCTGTGCGCCCAGCACTCTGCTCCAAAGCCGCAGCAGCACCTGCCATGCGTGCGGAGAAGAGGGGGAACGTGATAGGCAGGGGAGTGATGGCGACGTGGAGAGAGGCGCGAGGGAAGGGAGGTCGGCGGTAAGGGAAATTTCCAGGCGACAGGGAGGGCGATGGGAGGGGAAGCGCGGGCGACGGTGGGGGAAAGCGTGGGCGACGGTGGGGGGAAGTGTGGGCGGCGGTGGGAGAAATCGTGGGCGGCGGTGGGAGAAATCGTGGGCGACGGTGGGAGAGATCGTGGGCGATGAGCGGCGATGCGTGAAGGTGGGGGAAGGCGCTCGCGACGGTAGGGGGAAGCTTGGGTGAAGGCAGGAGGAAGCGTGAGCGGCGGTAAGGGGAAGCGTGAGCGACGGTGGGGGAAAGCGTGAGCGACGATGAGGGAAAGCGTGGGCGTGTGCGTGGGGGGTATGCAAGAGACGGTTGGGGGAAGCGCGGGGGACGCGGAAGACGATAGGGCCAAATGCGATATTTGCGGAAGGGCGATGCCAGTGCGACCGAGTGCGGAAACGTGATATGGCCTCGCGTTGCTGTCATGCCGATAAGCTACGACCAGAAAAGTAGTCGAGGTCTCAATATCGGCCGTAGGATAGATTCGTCTGGAGTTCTAAGCCGTATGATGGCTAAGAATAAAGGCGGAAGTGCTCATGGGCTATGCTTTAGTGGCTTCTTTTTCTCTCTTCGCATGAGGAACTCGCATACTATGGACAAAAGTGTCAAAATGAAGAATGGATGATGCATTGATGTTGGTTGGGGTACATATAGCTAACCCTAAGTTTTGTACCCCCTAAGACAAACCTCACTATAGGCTACAACATTTGACACACCCCCATAGCCTAAGTGAGGGGTGTCTAGCAGAACCAAACGAGTACAAGAAACGAAGCTCAGGGTGGATCACAACGTCACCACACAGTCTGAGCACAAACAACAGTGGCCACAAGGCCAGTCCAAGAAGTAACAGAGATATATAGAAAGCAAAGTAAACAGTACACTCAAGTCTAAGCAACACGAGAACCAGTGTCAACAAGGCCTAACTGCACACAGCACCTCTGGTGGTCACAAGGCGGAAGCGCCTTGGTGAAGATGTCTGCAGTGTTGGCCTCGGACTCCACAAACTCAAAGCGAGCCTGTCCACGCCTCTGCAACTCTCGCAGAAGAAAGTACCTGACGTGAATGTGCTTCACTCTGCTCTCCAGTCGTGGCTCTCGACAAAGGAGAATAGACGCCTTGTTGTCAGTGAACAAGGTCGGTGCAGAGCTCGGCCGCTCACCAAGGTCGGTGAGCAAGAAGGTCAACCAACGCAGCTCCTGTGCCGCCATGGCACCAGCGTAGATCTCAGCCTCAGCTGTAGAGGTCGAGACCAAAGAGGAGCGCGTGGACCGCCAGGAAACAGCTCCAGAACCCAGGCTGAAACAGTACCCCTGAGTAGACCTGTGAGTCTCAGCGTCGTCAGCGTAAGAGGAGTCACAGTGACCAGTAAGTACGACAGACTGCTGCCCTCCAAGAACTAGCCCCACGCCTGATGTCGTCGCTAGGTACTTCGCCACCCTCACAGCTGCTGTCCAGTGAACAGGACGGTGTCTCCCTGGCGCAACAAAGCGCGCAAGAACGCTGAGAGGGAAGGCGAGGTCCGGGCGAGTACAAGTCATCAGGTACATGAGGCAACCCACAAGCTCTGCGTAGGGACCACTAGGCTCGAACGGCTCGTCAGGAAAGGGTCCAGTGAGTCTGTGGTCAACAGCAAGAGGTGTGCGCTGTACTGTGGAGTGCTGAAGCCCGAACCGCTGAAGGACCTGCTGCACCATGTGTGACTGTGAAAGTGTAATGGTGCGAGCAGCTCTGTCCCTGGTGATCTGCAGGCCAAGGTAGTGGCGCAGCTCACCAAGATCAGTGCAGGTGTGTCTCTTCTGCAGTTCGGACTTCACGTGTGCCAAAGCAACCCTGTCAGGGGTGGCGAAAACAAGGTCGTCAACGTAGACCAGAACAAAGAAAGGTGTGGGGCCACGACGAACGAACAGCGACGGGTCAGCAGAAGACGGCTGGAACCCAAGGTCAGACAGGGTAGAACGCAGGGTGTCGTGCCACTCACGAGGAGCCTGACGAAGACCGTAAACCGGTCGCCTCAGCCTCCACTGGGTCCCAGGAGGGAAAGAGCCAGTGAAGGCAGAGGGACGACGCAACCAGACCTCCTCGTGAAGACTGCCCTGAAGGAAAGCAGTAGAGAAGTCGAGAGAGTGTAACTCGTAGTCTCTCTGTGCTGCTACGTGTAGTAACACCCAAAGAGTGGTCATCTTCGGGGTGGGCGCGAAGGTCTGAAAGAAGTCAACTCCCTCGCGCTGACTGAAACCTCTAGCCACGTAGCGCGCCTTGAAGACCGGAGGAGATCCCGGTGGCCGCTTCACCCTGTAGATCCACATGCCGTCGACTACGTTCGCCCCCGGAGGGGGAACCTCATCGACGTAGGTGCCTGTGGATCTGTAGGAGGCCATCTCTGCGTCCATGGCAGCTCTCCACTGAGAGGCCCAAGGCCCTGACACTGCCTCAGCGTAAGTGCGAGGAGTCGGAATGTCAAGGGCGTCGGGGTCACCCTCAGGGGCGAGGAGCATGGCACAGAGATGAGGGGAAGCGGCCGCCAGGAACTCTAGCTCAAACTGCCTGTCCTCTAGGGCGTCACAGCCAAGGGCAGACACACCCCCGACGGCCAGAGGACTGGAAGGAGGAGCAGCCACAAGAGCGGTGGCGAAGTCAAGGCGGCGGGTAGAGGCAAAGTCAGTGACTGCGGCAGTAAGAGCGGACACAGAGGACACAGAGGCACGAGGGTGGGTAACAAGAGAGGCGAGAACACGAGAGAGAACAGGACGGTACGTGCGGTAGTAGTCAGTGACAGGAGAAGGAAGCGACACAGTGAGGGCCGACTCAGGAGGAGACGGAAGCACAGACGGAGACGGACGAGGTGGACGAGAACAAAGGAAGGCTGTACGAAGGTCAGTGAAGGGAACAGGAGACGAGGGACGAGCACGAGGGGAGCGACGAGAGGCCCAAGTCTGAGAAGGAGGAGGAGACAACGAAGACTGAGAACGAGGGAAAACAGCGGGAGAGGGGTCAGGAGGAGGAAGCGGAGGACCAGAGATGGGAGGAGAGGGGGAGGAGGAAGGAGAGGGAGACGGGAGACCAAGGGTCCGAAGACCCGAGACAGGAGGAGGAGACGGCAGCAGCTGCTGCTGCTGCTGCTGCGGCTGCTGCTGCTCCAGCGGCTGCTGCCCCTGCTGCTGCTCCTGCTGCTGCTCCTGCTGCTGTCGCTCCTGCTCCTCGAGCCGCTGCAACTCTCTCTCCTCTCTCTCCAACTCCAGCTGCTCCTCACGAGCACGGCGAACACGAGCCTGGAACCTGGTCGGGTAGGGGTGGGGGGAAGGAGTAGTGTCCGGGGCAGCGGCAGCCCCAGAGTCGACCTCCGAAGCACCAAGCACACCACCCCCAGAGGCAGCACCAACACCAGCTCCAGACCCAGGCTCTCCAGAAACCGAAGGGACACCCTCACCCCCAGACGCAGCACCCCCAGACTCCGCACCAGCACCCCCAGACTCCGCACGACCAGTACCAGCCCCCGGAAGACAAGAGTCCTCTGCAACCCGCGGCTCAGCTCCAACTCCAGCACCCCCAGAACCAGAGACCTGTACAGGGACAGTCGCAGGACCAACCTCCCGAGAGGGAGCACCTGCAGGAGGCGGCGAGGAAGACTGTGGGGAGGGAGGCTGTACAGGGGG